AAACTATTCATAGTCGCCTTAGTTTCGACTTTTCTGGCTAAGTACCAACTTAAATTTTAGTTTCGGCTGCAGCTGCAACTAAGTAATAATAACTAAGTCGTAACTAGGAAGAAGTATTTTATCAAATTAAGGGAAAACAGACGAAATATGTAAAAATTAAGTTGGAAGAGGGTGATTTTGATAATATTGAATAAACTCCAATTAAAATTTACAAAGATCGATCCATTTTAATCGGAAGGTGAAATTAAATGCGTATTACAATTCGAATAAAGCTACATCACAATTTTATAATTGGAATAATTTAGATACATTTTCAAAAAATAAGTCAGTTTCACGCTAGTTCTTTTTAAGTAAATTTGTGCATAACATTTAGATATATACAATTTTATGTTCCACAGCATGCTTTCGATAAACATCGACTTCACATCACTACGGTTGTTCTGGCTATTTCACACAAATAACAAGAAAATGATACCTTATTCTTTTGCATAATCATGCAATTAAAATAAAAATTACATAAACGGATGATCAAACTTGATATTATTTAATAAAAATGTAATTTTTCCAAAATATAGTAAAGAAAAATCGATACATTTTCTCACTCGTTTTGCTATATCGTAAACTAAGTCGAAACTACTTAGTAGAAGTCTGAAATGCGACTATGAATAGAGGTAAATTTTACGTTGGTACTTAAATTTAAGTTGCAACTTTGTTAGTTTCGACTTAGTTGCTGGACTATGAATACGCGCCATTGGAATTAACTAAATTAATTAAGTAAACAAGTACTTACTTACATTTTCGCTCAAGTTTGTAATTTTTTAAACTTATCGAACTGTTCAAATTATCGTCGCAAAAAATGCAACCATGTTCCACAATCATGATTTCCCTAATTGCAATTTCTTGCTGGAAAAATTTTTCCAGCTTGAATTTGCAACTTCTTTCCAAGAACTAGTCTTTCTACTCGTGATTTATTTAAATAAATCATGTGAAATTTAGTTAAAACAGTTTAACCGTTTTTAGCCGGTTGGTCCAAAAAGTTCGGGCAACACTGGTCTCAGTTAAATTTTTTTACTTTTTTTCACTTCCGCGCAGCTCATTTATACATTTTTTTGCCATCTTCACCCTTTATTACTCTCGTAGTACATACATAACTACAACCCAAAGAAACTTAGATATACATATACATATTTACATACGTACATGCATACCCTGCAGTAAAAGGAACTAGTAAAATTTGAGCTATTTCGCTAACCCTTAGTAAACGTTTCTAGTCCAAATCCACTTTATTCGTTTATTTAATTTTTTCAATATTTTTATTCAATAATATCGGAATTACAGTATAGAACAACATGCTTTTTCAAATTACACTGGCTTACTAATTTTAATTTGGTTTTTGTTCTCCAATACCATAATCATTCCAGATTTTTTTTATGAAAAAAATAAAAAAAACAAATATTAACAGGAGAAAAGTTAAAAAACTAACAGGTTCTGTGTAAAATTTTTGCAGTTGTGCTATAGCCTGTTCTGTTACAAACAAATCAAGTTACTAATGAAGAAAATCGATGGATAAATAAAGAAGTAATGAGTGGCCAAATGAAAATGCGCATGATTTTTTGTATGAGAAATGAGCAGGAAATAATATTACTCATACGCCATGTACACCTAAGTAGCACGCTTTTATGCTGATATTTCACACAATAAATCTTCGCGCATTTTCATTTGACCACTCATTACTTCTTTATTTATACTTCGATTTTCTTTATGTGTTACATGTCAACAATAATCATGACTTATTTTACCAGCAAAAAGTAAAAGAACCCGGTTTTTTCAAAATTGCTAACCGGTGCAAAAAACGATTTCGTTTTTGAAATTACTGTGATATAATCCTTTTAGGAGCAAAGTTTCAACAAATTCAGAACATTCCTATTTTTCTGCATTGTTTGTATGGAGTCGGTTCACTATGTGGCGAACTGTGCTTTTCATCTGCTGACCGAGTTCATCGGAATCGACTTCGATTCCAAGTCGTTTGGCAAATTGGGTATGCGTGCACATAAACTATTTCAACGTCTTTTCATGTATGTAAATATGTACTTATGTATGTATGTATGAAAATAATTTATTTACATACATACATAGATGCATTCGTACACGTCTCAGTCAGTGTTGCCATTTCAGACATTTTCCGGCTAGATTTAGCCAGTTGCGATAGCAAACAGCCGGAGAAATTTCGATTTAGCCGGCAGCCGATTTGTTAGCCGTTTTGTAAAAAATAATTAGCAGTTTTTAGCCGATTTTGTTATTTGCCTTGTGTTCTTAAAATTCAAATATATATGTTTAAGCGATCTAAAATCTGTTAGAAATGGCTACTACCCTTATCGCAGAGAAAATTTTCATGTCAGGCAGGGTTATATAAAATTGGGCCGATATCGCTTATTTTTATTTTAAACGAATATATTTTTTCTAAAGAAGGCCGTAGCGGGGTTTAAGGTAAGGGAAAAATTGATATTTTCAAGCACTATGTACACATGTGGTCGATTCCACAGAAAAGTAAACCAGTCCGATTTTTTCTTTCTTTCAAATATTGTACATATTGGTGATTATTGGTATTCACTATGTCTGTCACTCAAGTAGCACACTGGTGTATAACTTGGTGTAGATTTACGAATTTCGGTATAAATCTGATTAATTGCACCAAAATTCACGAATTTACACCAAGTTATACACCAGTGTGCTACCTGAGCAGCTGCTTCTGACACTTATTCTTATCAATTTCAAGCATGTTATGTTAAATATTTTACTCCTCTTGTCGAAAGATTTTTCACGAACCTAAAAACAGTTTTCAATACTACAACCAGGAGAGATACAAAAATATTAGCTTTCCTTGATTTATTTTGGCTGATAAAGTTCTGACCGATAGAAAATAAATTAGTTTAACAGGATACGTTCTAAGTTAGCGAAAAAGTTGTTTAGAACTCCTATTAAGTCGTAATGAAATGTACCACAAATTTCCGGTGTAACGTAGTCAGTGAAAAACTAAAAAAGTTGTTTTTCGTATACTTAAGTACCCTTTCCAAAAGGATATTTAACATGATTTCTTAGTATTGGCGATGTTTTACTGACGTCATATGGAAAAAATAAATCTTAGCTGAGTTCGTTGTACAATTACCTAATAAATAAATGTAACGTGGCCAGTGATTTTCTTTTTATTTAAAAGTTTTAATGACTTGGTAACGATTCTCATTTCATTTTAGCAATAATTAATAAGACATATTTAAGAAAGTGTTTGCGTGTACAATTGCGAATTGAGCGTTATACTACTAAATTTTGACAACTATTATGCTTAAATAAATGGTACTTTAGATGAACTTACGCCTATTTTAAGTTATTAAACATATGTGGTTTTTACAGTAAAGTTAAATAAATATTATTTGCGACCATAATATGAAGATTTTCCGGTCAAAAATTTTAGTGTACTAATCATTTTTGACCTAGTTATAATTTCTAAGGATAATCGAGTTATATTTCTTAATCCTTCAATAGAAGATTTCCAATTTTAGCTTTTTTTATGATGACAGAATAAGAATGTGATGAAAAAATTTATGCGCAAAGCCTTTTGGTTAAAGGCCAGTATGCAGCTCTCAAGAAAAGCAAAAAAAAGCAAAAACTCCATATAAAATGACGTACAAGAAATGGCTAAAAAAATTTTTTTATTTCTTATTTTAATTTAATTTTTATTTAATTTTCTTAAGAAATTTGCTACGCTTTCTACTACGGTTTTCTAAAGTTTTTTTGTGAAAAAAGAGCACAAGGCAACCCATGCTTGCAACAGAAATATATGCCCGTTCCATTATTTCTTGAGGAAAGAGCGAGGCAACAGGCTGGTGAAGTATCAGTTGTCGAAATTCCTTGGGCACACACTCGAAATAAAGGCAATTTTTTTCTTTACCGTTTTGTTGAGTGCTGCGTACCAGCCTTAAACCTTGCCCAAGCGAACCGTACGTGTAACGTGACCAGTGTTTTGTGTAACGTTACCAGTGCCCAAATTTCATGAAAAAAAATCCAAAATTTACAACAATTGAGTATGCATATGTCCACCTGCATTCATTGCAGATGCCATACTGAAAAACTATTAATAATTTGCAAGTTTCCCTGCCAGCTAGTGTCCACGGTTGCATTTCAAACATAAGAAATTTGTATAGAATTTTTAAAATTCTTTCAGAGGGGCAAAAAACAGGATCTGCATGTTTATTTCTTGTTAGTCCGGCTTTCTTCAACATGCGTTTCAGTTTCTTTGTCGTAGTAACTGTCGAGTTTCCTATATCGACTCTTGTTGAGATTGCATTCCGATTACGAATACAGTTTTTTCAGCCCAGTACCTTTCAAATCATTGGCGCATATTCATAGTCAAATTTAGTACTCAACTAAGTCGAAACTATTCTAAGTCACACCTAAACTATTCATAGTCGCCTTAGTTTCGACTTTTCTGGCTAAGTACCAACTTAAATTTTAGTTTCGGCTGCAGCTGCAACTAAGTAATAATAACTAAGTCGTAACTAGGAAGAAGTATTTTATCAAATTAAGGGAAAACAGACGAAATATGTAAAAATTAAGTTGGAAGAGGGTGATTTTGATAATATTGAATAAACTCCAATTAAAATTTACAAAGATCGATCCATTTTAATCGGAAGGTGAAATTAAATGCGTATTACAATTCGAATAAAGCTACATCACAATTTTATAATTGGAATAATTTAGATA